TTTTCTTAGTTTTTGAACTCTTATTTCTGTGTGAGTACATTTAATTTTCCTGACATAGCACTCCCTTGAGAATTTCTTGGAGATCTGGTCTGGTGCTGGTAAATTCTTTCAGGTTTTGTTTATCTGAGAATGTTCTTGTCTTTTCTTCCCATATGAAGGATAAAATTGTGTTAATTTTTGAAGTAGTGTGAGTGCTGACTACTAGTAGTATCAGAAATATGTTCAGGATTGTTTTGATACCTGTATTTATCATTTTAAAAATGTTGGGGGATGTATCGATGGATTTCTGTTAAAAGCTGTTCCTGTGTGTTACATGTAACAGACAGGGTAAATGTTTGTTTACAGTTTTGTTTAACAAACTATGCATTTAAGTTGAAATGAAGTCAACAAAAAGGAAATAAATGTATAGATATGTGATTTAGAGATGAAAGTTAGTCTTAAGATGTAAATAAAATGTGGAATGTGTCCTCAAAAAAAACCCCAAAAAGCAAAAAAACAAAACACGCCAGGGCATGCCCAGAATCCTGGGAAGAAATGGAGAAGGGATTGCGGCGTGGCTATCCACCCTGGGGGTGATTTCTCACTTTTCCCTCTTTGTCTGTCTCTATCTGTCTGTCTACAACAAATGCATGCGCCCTGTGGCAAAAACAATTTTTTAAAAATTTAAACTGCGTGGTAGCTAAAGTCACCGGTCATTGATTGCAGTAGTACATGTGTCTCCCAACACCACACTGTTCCTCTCTCCCTCTCCCAATGTATACATTATGCACAATACATGTCAAGATGTGGTCTTTTTTAAAAAAATAATTATATATATTTGGGGGATGAATTTTTAGGCTTGTTATATAATTTACATGTAGCAAAAATTCACCCTTATTAGGTGTACAGTTCTGTGAGTTTTGACAAGTGTCAAATAACCACTATTGAGTCACATAACCACTATTGTGAGCAAGATATAAACAGTTCCATCCCGGCAGAGTCCCTCGTGCCCCTTTGCTGTCACTCTCTGCCGTCTCATCCCTTAACCCCTGGCCACCATTGATCTGTTTCTCTGTCTCTATGGTTTTCTTTTCCAGACTGTCATATAAATGAAATATGGTGTGCAATCTTTGAGTCTGATCTCTTTCACTCAGTCATATATATGAGATCTAGCCATGTCATTGCACATATAAGGAACAGCAAAAAGTTCATAAAAAGTGGAATTAAACTATGAGTTAATTTTGGTGCAAAAAAGTTTAAATCTGTAAGTTTTTCTTTCTTTTTCTTATTATTTTTTTAAAATTAAGTTTTTCCCTGAGTGAGACAGATACAGAAAGAGAGAGACAGACAAACAGAGAGTATCTCTGACAGGGTCTTGGCACTGATCCATCCTCGCCTTCAGCAAGCCCTGGTTCAATAGGTATGCTCATGCCTAGTATACTCAAGGAGGGCTTCCGATGTGAACCTGGACACTTCCTATGTGGATTGTCTTACTGAGTGTCACATTTTGCCACTGGCCCCTCCACTTTTTTTTTTTTCCTAATGTGCATTTCTAGGAACTTTTTGAAGACTAGTCATTCTTTCCTTTTTTTATTGTGTAGCAATATACCCATTTCATGGATATACTATAGTGTGATTATATATTAGTTGACAGAAGTTGTGGTTGTTCTGTTTTGGTGATTACAAATGACACTGGTATAAAAATGCACATATAGGGGCCCTGCCTCAGTGGTGCAGGTGGTAACACACTGAACTGCAGTGCTGAAAACCACATGGTTGACTATAGGTTCGGACCCTGAATTGACTTGAAAACACACCAGGTGTGTGTGTCCAAGATTCTGATGAAGTCAAGGGGCTAGGAGAAGGGAACTGCAGTGTAATGAAACCTGCTTGGGTCTCTCTCTCTCTCTCTCTTTCTCTTAAGTGCATGCACTCTCTCTCATAATAAAATAAAATTTTAAAAAATGAGCATATAGGCTTTTGTGTGGACATATGTCTTCATTTATCTTGGGTAAATACATAGGAGTGAGATTGATAAGTCATATGTTGGCTATATTTTTAAAACTGTATTTTCAATTGTGTAAAACATATGTAATGTGAAATTAACTATTTCTAATTGTACAGTTCATTAGCATTAAGACATTCACATTATTGTGCAGCAAGGTAGGTGTATTTTAACTTAATAAGAAACTGCCAAATTATTTTCCCCAGTGGTTGCAACATTCAGATGAGTTAGTAGGGAAGTAGGGACAGGGTGGGCTAATATTTCTACCAGCAATCCATGAGAGTTCCAATTGTTCCACATCCTTATCAGCACTTGAAACAGTCAGTTTATTTATTTATTTATTTTTTTTGGGGGGGGGATACATGATTTAATTAAATGTAGTTTTGATCTTTTCTTTTTTTTTTATTTCATTTTCTTTCATACATTCAATCACATTATTATTTGTCTTACAAAATGGATATTTAAACAGGTGAACATTTCTCCCTAGTGAAACAGTCAGTTTTTATTTGACCTATTTTAAGAGGTATATACTAGATTCACATTATGATTTTAATTTTCTTCTTTCTTTCTTTTTTTTAAGTTTTGTTTTGTTTTGTTTTTTTTGAGATTGTTCAAACAAATTTACTTAATATTGATTAACTACAAAATTTCATATGCAACACATGGTCACTATTACAGGATTTGGCCTTCTAGAGAAATATGTAAACAGGCATTCTATTAAGAGTCTGCCTTCTTAGAAAGGTGAGAAATGACCCAAACTCCCAACCCAGAAAAAAATTATCTAAATTATCATATTCTTTAAAAAGTTCCAACAGGTTCTTAATACAAGAGTGATTTACAAACTCAGCTTTTTTCCGTAACATTTTTCTATGAAGTCTCATTTTTGACCAAAAGAAGACACAGGTTTTCTCATTAAACTTTGTTTTAATGGGTCTCAAAATTCTGTGACAGATTTTTGGTCAAGTTGTTTCCATTAAAAAGTACTGATTTTAAAAACTAATAACTTAAAACTGCCACACACAAAAAAACGAAATGGTCCACAAAACATTTTCCTTTCCTTCTGAAGGTTTTACGATGCATTGTTATCATTAACCAGTCTTTTACTATTAAACTTAAATGGCCAATTGAGACAAACAGTTCTGAGACTGTTCTTCCACCACTGATTAAGACTGGGGTGGCAGGAATTAGGGATATTCATTTAGCCTTCTGA